ACCATTAAAGATGAGCTTTCATTGCTTCACCATTAAAGATGAACATTTCATTATTCATTGAAGGCATCCACAAGAGTTTGCCTTGGTTGAAGGTGAATTGACGATGATTACGGGGTTCCAAATACGAAAATGAATTGGAATCTTTGTTCTTACAATTTTACCCCTCACTAACATAGTTGAAAAGACCGCAACACCCCTATATTAACAAATTTTGTTGATATATAATATTGACTTGTATTTTCTCGTCTAGCAGTGTAGGTTTAATATGATCCACTTAGGGCCTGTTCCGATTGACTGAACTGAGCTGAGCTGAACTGAGCTGAGCTGAACTGAACTTAACTGAACTTATTAATTAGTGATTTCTAACTACGGATTAGTGATCTTTGATTATTTATTGATTATTTATTACTATACATATGTGTATATACAAATGTACATATTATTAATAATAATAATATTATTATTAATAATAATATTATTATTATTATTATTATTATTATTAATTTTGATTATTATTATTATTATTTATTGATTATTATTATTATTATTATTATTATTATTGTTATTTATTGATAATTATTATTATTATTTATTGATTATTATTATTAATATTATTATTTCAATTATTATTGTTATTATTATTATTTATTGATTATTATTATCATTATTATTATTTATTACTTATTGATTATTATTATTATTATTATTGTTAATATTATTATTATTATTATTATTGTTGTTGTTGTTGTCGTTGTTATAATAAGAGCTTAAAAGAATGAAATTTGGCTTCATATCATTAGCAATATCATTAGACGTAAATTAAGAGTTGAACTGAACCGAACTGAAGTGAACTGAATTTCAACAGAAGAGAACAGACCCTTCTCTATTTTTTCGATCCGAACCGATTTTTGAACGCTCTAGCAGTCTAGCCTAGAGGCAACTTTATGTTAGAATAAAAATATAAAATGAAATTGAATTTATAAAACCCTAACCCCTTTCTTGCTTAAGTCCCCTCTTTCTTCTTCCTCATTCCCGCAGTCCTCTTTCTCTCTCTTCTTCTCCAAACATGCCGAAATCCAAAAGAAATCGCGCAGGTATTCTCTTCCTCCTTCTCTCATTAGCCTTACATTCGTATTTTTCCCTATTTATTATGTTCTTCTGTTGATTTTTATTATATTTTTCAATGTATTAAGAATTTCTATGTACTGCTATACTGTGAAGAAACAGAAGAATTATAGCTCACTCTTTCATCTGATATAATTTATGCAATTGTTAGTTCTACCAGCTGTAGTTATTTCATCTTTTTTCTATATTTTGTTTTCAATTTTGTATGATTTTTGGTGTTTTTAATCAGTGAATCGTATAATTTTATGTTTTTGTAATTGTTCAATATTTGATTTTGGGTAGTTTAGATTATTATCTTTAAAATTGAAGTGGGACAGAGAGTGATTACTGAGACAATGATGGGTTTTTTGTGAATTTGAAATTGAAATTAAATTGAAAATGCAGTGACCTTATCAAAGACAAAGAAGAAGGGAAGAGAGCATAAGGAGGTGATTGTTAACTCAATAAGGGAAGCAGCAGAGAAGTTCCCCTCTGTTTACGTCTTCGCTTTCGAGAACATGAGGAATCTTAAATTCAAACAGTTCAGAGATTCTATCAAGTCCTCCGGCAGGTGATTATGATTGGAAACCGCCTTTTTTTCCATATGAGTGCTTGTTATGAAGTCCGATAATACTTTATTTTGATGTTTGACATATTTAGGGGTGAAAGATTGAATTTTTGATACATATTATGTACTGTACTTAATGCTTGAGTGGTCTTTTCAATGGTTATGCTGTGTAATGATCACAGTTGAATGAGCATTGTAGGCGTGTAGTAGGGACTAATTGACATGGTTGTGGAATTGGTTAAATTACAATGTGTAGCTAGGTTTCTTAATTCAAATTCATCAAGAATCATATGAAGCAATTTTACTTCTATTAGTCATGCTTCTTGCTGGTTGTTCTATGTGTTGGTTATGACTTATGATGATTAAATTGTGCCATTTGCTATTTCAGATTCTTTCTTGGATCGAACAAAGTCATGCAGATTGCTTTAGGTCGTTCTGCTTCTGATGAGATTAAACCTGGTCTTCATAAAATTTCAAAGGTAATGTTCTGCTTATTATTTGTCTAATTTACATTTCTTGGTCAGTTTGTGATCTTGTTTCATTTCTTCTTTGTTTGCTTCCTGTTTTTGCAGTTTTTGCGTGGAGAGACCGGTCTTTTCTTTACAGACATGTCAGAGGAAGAGGTCAAAAAGTATGCATGAGAAATTGTTCTAAAGTTGTTTCTGTCATTGTTTATTACCTTTTCATTTCATGTATCTATTAATGCAATATTTAGCGGACAAGCTGATTTGCTTTCCCTTTTGTTCGGGTGATAAGAGACTGTCTAACAATGGGCTGGTTTTTATTTATTTTTTTAAAAATTATTTCTGTAAATCTGCAAGGGATTTTTGCTTCAATGTTTGCATCGAGTAGCAATTGAAAGTAGTACGTGGCTTTTTAAAATTTGATGTGCCAATGCTCCTCTAAATGTTGCTTTTGTGGCTTCGTCTGCAGAATATTTGAAGAGTTTGAAGTTTTTGATTTTGCAAGGACAGGATGTCTCGCTACCGAGAAGGTTAGTTTGTATTTTGTATATAGTAACCGTTTCTCAGTTTTTAGTTTGTTCTGCTGCATTGGTGGGTCATGTATATGCAAATGATATTATTCAAGAATATTTTTGAGGCTATAAGTCTTCTGTGCATCACTCATCATTTTTGTGGTCTAGCTCTTGGATATTTTGTATATAACTTGAAACTTGAATCCAAAGTTCATTGCCGTATGTTTGTCTGTTTAATCGGACAAATGATGAATCTTACAGGTGGAGCTTAAAGAAGGACCTCTGACTGAGTTCAGCCATGAGATGGAGCCCTTTCTACGCAAGCAAGGGATGCCTGTGCGATTAAACAAAGGTTTGCAATTTTAATTGTTCAGGATCTCTGTCACACCCCAAATAAATTTCAAAGGAAAAAAGAAATTGTGAACATTAATTGGGTTTTTATTGTCATGGCAGGTGTGATAGAGCTTATTTCAGATTTTGTTGTTTGTGAAGAAGGGAATCCTTTGTCTCCCGAATCATCTCGTATCCTGGTTAGTGTCACTACTTCATGCTCTACTGTCTATACTACAGTACTACCTATACACTGTGTACGGTGTTGTTAGATGTATATTGTAATGAATGTCAGTCTTACTTTTATATGGTGTGCTTAAGAGAGCCTCAGAATAGCTTTATATGAAAGAAAATATTCTAGCGAACCCACACCCGTGGAAATAACGATTAACAAAAGATTTTTTTCGATGCGAAGCTCTTATAGGTAGAGTGAGCTGTGGTCTTTTTAGAGAGTTGACTAGCTGAGGTTTGAGATTGATTTGGACCCCCTTTTTTAAAGGAAGTTCCCAATGAATTATCTGCGTACACATGCTTGGCATCTGAACATTTTCTGCTCTGCGTACATGTACTTCTTTTAGGAGTTCTCTCTTTTTTGCAATCCAAAGTGGGGAGGTTGGAGGGGGCTGGGATTTACATCGACATGTTCCAATTTGTGCCTTGTCATGTGTCCCACTCGATTATAACTTATTGGTGGATGTTGATGATGTGGCACAAATATAGATCAATAAATTCATGAAACCTAGATTGGACTCATTATAGGATTGAGAAGATGGTGGGTGTTAGGACCATAGGGATGCTATTTTGTGGTTAATAGTTGCTGGATTATATTATAAGCTATGTTGAATTGTGTTGCAAGTATTGCTATTGTTGAGACCGTGTTACTTTCTTGCCATATAATTCACTGAACTTTTTTGTTTGCAGCGTCTACTTGGAGTGAAGATGACTTCATTCAAGCTTCATCTGATCTGTAGTTTGAGAGGTGATGATTTTGAGGTGTATAGAGAAGGGTTGGAAGAATCTGACGTCGAGTCTTCTTAAAGATATAGCGAATTTTGGTGTGAGAATGTTCTTTTTGGTAGATGAAACTTAGATAGGAGATATAGGATCTTCCCCTGGTGTTTCTGTACTTCAAATGTTCAGTTTTTGCTGTCCTTGGGGACATGGGGAGCTGGGAGCCAAATATGAATGCCAATTTATTACAGAATTTGATTGTGATCGGTCTTTAAGTACTCGGTGTGTAGTATGTTGTGATGAACAAGAAATTTTGATGAGGTAGAGCAACACTAATGCTAAAATTATTACTCCTTTTTGTTGCGAAATTGAAAGCTTGATAACTCTTCTTCAGTTCTCATACGATGATTCATGACCAATTCAACAATGCCATGATTCATGAACCTAAAATCAAAGAATGAGAGCATATGACAGACATGTTAGACTTAATTAATAGTTTTGTAAGAAACAAGCTTCAAACTCAAAATTCATAAGTCATAAACATCAATAATTACACAAAAAGAAAACCTTAACCATAAATAAATTAATAAACTACATACTCCATAAATCAAAGAGACTTTTCATCGACGATTTATACTTCATTAGCTTTGTCAATCATGGCGATGACAATCTTGACTATTGAATATGGAAGTGGTTGATATTCTAATCATGGTGATGCCAATCTTGACTATTGAACATGGAAATGGTTGATATTCTAAGATATAGGTATGATTTAGATTCAAAATGTCTAATATATAATGCGGAGTACTATACTAAAGCGGTTCTTTTTTTAACATCTCGAGAATAGCATAGGGATTACCTAGTACTAAAACTAATTGTGTAAAAAGTTTAAATCCTGCGGCGAAATCTTTATTCTCCGAGTCATAATATACCGATATACTACGTATGTCACTCAATAGCTCAATGCATCCGGATCATATTATGTTGCTCGGTGCACCTTAGCCATAGTCCCTAATTCTATATCAAACCAAGAAATTATTCCTTCAAAAAACCAAGGAGAAAAAACAGTTATTTCTACAGATTTTGTGCCTTCTCCTACTCCTGAGCTTCCTCTCTTCCCTCCAATTAAACTCTCTCTCTTCAACTGATTTCTCTCTCCTAAATTTTCTCAAAAACCCTAATTCCCCAATTTCTCCCTCATCCAAATTCTTACCACCATGCATACATTAGGCCAAATTCCCACCACTTCTCCAATCAAAACTTCGTTCAAATCCCTAATTTCTCGAAAATTTCCCGCCCAATCATCCTCGTTGAAGTTTTCAATTAAAAATGGAGGTGATTTTAATGGTGGTTTGAAGGCTGTTGCGGCGGATACTAAGGCTGTGGATTCTCGCCCTTTCGTTGTCATTGATAATTATGATAGCTTCACTTATAATCTTTGCCAGGTTTGTTTTATTCTGATTTTGCTGTATCTAAAGTTGGATTGTTGATTGAGATAGATTTATTTTTTTGCATGTTTTTGTTTTTGTGTGAATTTATTTCTGCTGATTTTCATATAATATTATTTTTGCTTGTGACATACTAATGATGAATGTACCTTATAAGCGGGAATTTGGGTTGATTGATGCATTGGGTTCTGTTGAAAGTGAAGATGAGAGCATTGGGAATTAGAGCATGTTATATAAAGTGAGGATTATTTGATTTTAGAGGTTTGAGTTTCATGATTTTTGAATTTGTTGCCTTTTTCTGCCTTGGTATGTAAATATATATTTGAGCTTAGAAGGTCCGTTAGTATTATATATTGCATTGGAGGTGGCGGATTCGATGAGGATGAAGACGACGAGGAGGGGGGGGGGGGTCATGGCTGAATAATTAGCTAGGGAGAAAAGGGTGTTTTTTTAAGCAGCTAATGTACAAGATTCAGTTATTGGATCATTTGTGATGGACATTCAGCAAAATTCCAAAAATTGTAGAGAGTATATAGTCCATAGTGCATCATGGGGGTTTGGAAATTGGTTGATACAAAATGGTTGCATGACTTGCATCTATAAATATTAACGACAAATGTGGATGTTCTAATAACTGAATTGAGTCAAGAAGCAACAATAATACGGGAATCAAATAAAAATACAAAATTTTGTTGTATTTTCTTCATATGGCAGTGTGGAATTTGGAAATCGGTTGATACAATATGGTGGCACGTGTAGATCAGTAGGTAGTAACGGAAAATACGGTTGGTTTTGCTTGTCAGATTTCTATTTAAATTTAGTTGAGAAGCTACAAAAAGAGTGACAGTAAATGAAATAATAAAACTAGGTGTTTATAGTCCAAAGTACACCATGGCATTTAGAAATTGGTTGATAGTTATTGCGTCACTCACAACTCGTCAATCTCGTGTTAGGAATTATCATTATTAATTGCCAGTTGGATTCCAGATATCTGGTGTCTGTCTTGGGTTCATACTCGTATGTCTTTCTCATAGAGTTTGAAATGTCCAACCATCATATTAATGTTTTTGTGTCCTTTTATAGCTATGGTATTCGGGCTGTAGTCTAGTAATACACGGTGCTTTACCCCTTTGACTCAGTTGGGTCACGTGTGCATCCTAATTACATAATTTTTTTACCCGGGGGGGGGGGGGGTTGAGTTTTAGTGAGAACAAGAGTGTAAGGCTTGGGGCATGTATAATTGTTTAGGGGGTTGTAATGATGAGAACAGGACATTAGAAATCCTCTTCAATGAAAATAGGAAGGCACATGGATATTGTTTTTATACTATAGTATCAAGATTTGTTCAATCATGGAAAGGTGTTGATTACTAAGTTTTGAGCTACAACTACTAGCCTTGTGTTGATGTAATGTAATGGTCGCAGGTTTTACAAATTTGAAGGGTCAAAATTTATAACTTTGTTTGTTTTAGTAATAAGATAAATGGTAACAAGCATGGATTGTTTCCCTTTTCTTAGAGCTTTGATACTCTTTATGAATAGTGAACTACTGAACTTTAGTTGGAGGAATAGTTATCACTTCCTATCCTAACCTGATGGTCTTGGGTTTGATGCTTGTCCCACATTCCCACCAGGTGGGGCTCCCCCCCCCCTTTCCTCCCCTTTCCCCGGTTGGTTGGGCCACCTTCATGCCTTAAACTAATGGTCATGGGTTTATTGCTCATCCCACTAGGTGGGGGTTTCCCCCTTCTTCTTTTCTTGGTTTGGTCACTTTACCTTGTCCATAAAGACTCTTCATGAATAAGGCTGCTGTCTTGTGATTTCAGTCATTGTTACGTTTTGCAAAAGTTAAAAATGCCTGAGAAATCTGCCTTTTGAAATATTTATTTTTCCAAACTCTGTTGTGGATATTGCAAGAGTATACTCCAAGCTTCCTTCTTTGTGTTCTTATACAGATTGGATTGATGACCTAAGTAGCCTTCTGACATAATTGCTTTATCTGAATATTGTATCAGTGTATCTGAGCTTTAAGTTTCAGACTTTGAAGATTGGTTTAAAGTTACTGCATAAACAGACATTTAAGTTGCTGGTTACAAGAAAGCTATTTTCTAACTTTAAATATTATGTTGTTTTCATTTTCAAGTATGTGGGAGAATTAGGTACGAATTTCGAGGTATACAGAAATGACGAGATCTCTGTGGAAGATTTGAAAAGGTAAGGTGGGAGAAGAGTGGTTGAGTTTATTTATTTTTCTTATGTTAATTTGTTGCTTGCAAGTGTGTCTGAAGTTTTAAGCATTGTATTAAATTTTCTTTTCTTCAATTAGATTAAAGTTAATTTATGCTGTTCAAACTGTCGTACCAGGAAAAATCCAAGGGGAATCCTTATATCTCCGGGTCCAGGTGAGCTTTTTTGCTCTTTTATTTATTTGTTTATGTTTTTAATTTTTTTTAAAAATCTATGTACAATATGTCCATTTTGATTGGAGTAATATTTTTTTTTGTTATTTTGCTTTTTCATGGTAATGGACTACCTTTAAATGGATCATATAGTTTGGCTACATTCCTTATTATTACAAAGCTACCAACGCTCAGTGTGTGTTTAATCATGAAGCAGTCTCTCAATATCTCAGGTTTACAATATATCTGCTAAAGGTGGAGTCCTTTCAGATGCATAGGAGTGATGTTGGGTGTGGAATTGATACAAGTCCCACATCCTTTATTTTTTTCCCCAATAGATTAGTGGAAGTGAAAGAAATCTTGACCTTAAGATTACAATTGGAAATTGTGAAGGTTGGGTAAGGGGGTGGAGGGTATATGATCTCATTTTCCTGGTAGAAGATCCGAACCTATACATGTTATCTGGTACTTCGTATCTTGATAGTTTTGAACTGTTTGAATAGAAATCTGCAAAATTAAAAAGAAGATGAGAATAGTAAGCAAGAGAGACAGACAAATTGAAGCCTTGGAATTCACAAATGAGGGTTTCAGCCTCGAGTTTTTTTACTCAAAATCATCTCTGATATCTTTTTGGCTGAATCTTTGTGAACAGGTTAATGTTTTTTTGGCTGCAGAAACTCTTAGGAGGTAAGGATTGCAACATCTTAGGAGAACAGGAAAAAAAAATATTTATTTTTATTTTTTATTATTATTTATAAACTTATGTCAATTGGTTAATTGGGTTCAAATGTTAGATAAATTGACATATTTTTTTTTAGAAGTGTCTCTTCATAGACATCCAATTGTTTTCCTACTCTAGTTTCCTTTTTAAGTAAGTGATGGGGCTGAGTACTAGGATCCTAAGTTTGACAGGGCTTTGAAAATCTAATGACTACTTAAACGTGATGAAGTTCATGTACATGGATAGAATGTATCACATCATCATCTGAGTTTTGGACAACAACTCTTGTTTGAGGAGTAGAGTTTTTATATACTTTAGATACTTCTGACATTTTGTACTTCTTTCTGTCTTCTGAAACCTAAAAGTTCTGTTTATTTTCGATTGAAAGATGAAGTCCAAGTGCTTGGTTGAAGGGTGGTCGATTCATGTATGTATATGTGACTATATGATTGCTGATGTTAACTATTGTTGTCCTTGTTAACAATGTTAATTATTGTTGCCCTTGTTAACAAAATGCTCATGCATTTCCATTGAAAGGTACACCACAAGACTCAGGAATCTCTTTAGCTCTTGTTTTGGAATTGGGACCCACTGTACCAATATTTGGTGTTTGTATGGGCCTGCAGTGCATTGGAGAGGCTTTTGGAGGTAAAAATTCACTTTTGTTTCTCAATTGGCTTAGAGGGTCTTTTACACTGTAAATTAGAATATTAGATGATGCTGCTTCACATTCTGCTTAAACTTCTCTGTCTACCTATGCTGCTGCCAGTATTGCTGTTATAAAGTGTCATTAATTTATTCTTTCAGGCAATTGTTTTCTTGGCTCGTAACAACTGTAATTTAGTATAAGCGTTAGGAGGTTTTCATTGTGTTTAAACATAATTATGCAGGTAAGGGGTGTACTCACATTGTGATTTGTGAATTACAAATTCTAAAGAGGTCAAAACATATCTAGCTGGACTTACATTATTCTAATTTTTTTTTTTTTTTTTTATAGAGGATGAGCATGTAATGAGGTTAAAATGCTCTACTCAAGAGTCCAGAGCTCTTGGCGTGAAGTTTTGAAACTTAGATGCTGTTTTAACTTTTACTGGTGATGTTAAAAGAATATACTGGAGTTACCAGTACTGAATGAAATGCTTGAATTATTGTGAATTTTTGTGATTCGAAGAAGAAAGGTATACCTGCAATTAAAAGGAATGTACTTGTATTAGTGGGGAAAGGGATTTCATGGCTTTGAGTGCCATCATGTGTTTATCATCTAAATTTGAATTTATTTATGGAGTCAATAAAGGAATCGACTTGTCATTCATACATTATTGAATGGGAAGAATAAAGCTATATTACTCGTAAAGACTTACAGCCCAGACTTATGTACAAAATATATTGGAGTGTTTACTGCAGTTTCATCTTACTTGTTGACTGTTTCTGATGTATCCATTCCAAGTGTGTGTTTGTCGCTTGCAGAGCCATTTTCCTTTTGATAAGTCATGTTACCATAATAATTTTACAGGGAAGGTTGTGCGTTCCCCATATGGAGTTGTGCATGGGAAAAGCTCACCTGTGTACTATGATGAGAAGGGGAGCAATGGCTTGTTTACAGGTTTACCCAAGTAAGTGCTTTGTTGTGTATTATTATGATCAAAGTCTAGATGTGGAGCAATGCATCAGAATATAGAGGTGCTACACTGCTACAAGTGATCCAATTATGGAGTAGTAATTGATTTATATAGCAAGATTTAATCATGCAGGCGATTTGTAGTGCTCTTTTTATTTAGTTTTACAGGATTGCAGCTATGCATTTTTTTTGTGTGTATGTGTGTGTGTGTGTGTGGATTGTCATTGATTGAAGTTAAGCTATGCTTCTATGTTAGGTTATTTTTGTAGGTCGCCTTCTGTTTGAGTGTTTCAGCATGCTAACCCTCTTCTATCACTGAAGTATGTTAGGTTATAGGAATGGAGCCTCCTACTATTGCTCTTCTTATCTGCATCCTGTCACCATGTCTGTAGGATAGATTGAAGTGCTAACTTGATAAAGATAATTGGTTTAATTAAGGATTTTCTATGAAAACTAGTTTTTTCTTTTCTTAATGAAATAGAAGAAAAGAAAAACAAATAGTTCTAGCTGTGTTCTACTGGAAAATGAAGATAGCTATGTTTTACACGTGCATTAACTTGCATGTTTCCGAAAATGTACCTTCTATTGTATATTCCAGACTCTAATGATAGAAATTTCTCTATGTCACAGCCCCTTTACTGCTGCTAGATATCATAGCCTTGTAATTACCAGAGATAACTTTCCTGATGAGCTTGAAATTACTGCATGGACCGAGGATGGGTTGGTCATGGCTGCTCACCATAAAGAATACAAAAATTTACAGGTAAAAACTTGTCTACAGATCTATGCCATCTTCTACCCCATTACCCCCACTCCCAACACTCAAAAAGGAAAGATCTTTAAGGGAAGGAGACAAAAAGTTCTGTCCCCATTCAGAAAGGAAGGCCAATAAGTTGAGTTCACTTTGAGACATGCATACTGGAACAAGTCCTGGCCTCGCATTTTGTAGTTTGAGGATGTTAATGTCTCAATTTTTTGAGCATTTTTTTTCTTGGGCTTTCTATTGAATTAGTTTTAAATGATTCATTTGTTAACCAAGTCTATTGCTTTGTTCATCTACAATTATTGATTATGGTATGTTGAAACTGGAGATTGATGAGTGTTGACACAGGAGATATGGGAACAGATCTCACTAATAAAATAATTTTGTTTTTCTGAAAGAAACAGGTGTGAGTTAGTCATTTTGATCATTGCAATCAAAGATACGCTAATATGCACTAGAAAGAATGAATAAACATATGCTGGTCCCATTCTTTGTATAAAGTAGTCTCTTGGTAACTTCCATGGTTTTTGAGAGGCATTTTTGTGTTGGCAGCTCGCCCTTTTAATTGTGCATGGTTTCTTTTCGGAATTGTCCCATTAATACCTTTTCCATATTTAATTTTCAGGGAGTCCAGTTTCATCCTGAAAGTGTTCTCACTCCAGAAGGTAAAGGGATAATTAAGAATTTCATCAAAATGATCGAGAATAATTGAACAAATGAATTGCTTTGGAAGCTTTCAAAGTGATTTGTTTTATTGTTGTTAATTTATGAATTAGGTTTACTTGGCAACAAGATCAATTTAATCTCTATTGAAACAATAGAATCAGATCTAGTTGTAGCTATTTAAGAAAACAGATTTGCTACAATTGTGTAATTATTGTATCAAGTCAAAGGATATATGTTCAGAAACACCTTTTAATCCCCTCCATATTGGAGGAAATGTCTTTTATCTCTTCAAGACCAGAAGGTTGTGAACTCCTGAACTCAAATTTCAGAATAAAAACTCGAGCTATGTAATACTATGATGGGTTTGACTGTTGCCCGATGATTGACAGTCGAAAATACGAATAAGAACGAAGTCGCCTTTCTGGCAGCTCAAACCTCTGCATACTTGAGCTGTAATGAAAGAAGGTAGCTTTCGTTGAGTTTATATACTGTATGGCCTTATTTTTAGACATGAAAATGAAGTATGTTGAAAAAATTTCATGCAAAGTTTGTCTTGGCCCACAAAAGTCATTATCATTTGACCTGTAAAACAATCTGAATTCACCTGCCTTTGGATTTATTGTTTAGGAGAGAGAATGATGGGATTCAACCTGTTTTTTACTCTTATATTTGATGATGCGTACTCTTTTTCTCATGTGTGATTTCGTGCAAGTTTTGGAAATGATTGACTTTAAACTTTCTCCTGTAGTAACTATAATGCTGGCCTTGACATTTACTCTATCTAGTAAAGACAGTAGATGATTAAACTCAAGTATTATTAAGTTCCTCAATCTTTACGCAATTTGGATAATTGATGCAAAATAGATTGGATCAAGATTTCAACAAACTCGAGCACAGGGTCATCATCAAGAACTCTTATTGCTAAGCTTCAATTAAGAAGTAAGTTGGTTATTTCTCGTCCTGGTGATGAATCAAGTGGCCTGCTCAGAGATGAAAATCAAATCGAATTTAAATCGAATTTCGAAAACTCACCAGATTCTTCATCATCATTCAATGCAATTTTCTGAAGGAGGCAAACACCCATCTCACGCAATGATTCAGAAAACTCTAAAGAACATCAAAAATCATTTTAGAAAAAATTACACACAATTCCATAATAATTTTGTGCTACAATTGCAAAATTAACTACATTAATTCATAATTTATATACAAAATAATTAAAGTGTAAAAAGAAAATAAAAATCATCATACCATATGCACTATTTGTTGCCGCAGCAGCAGCTGAAAGCAAACTATCATAACAGTCTTTCATATCTTGCATAGCCTGCTCAATTCAAAACATAAAATTGCACGTTAATTTCAAATTCATTTTACAAAATATTAACAACAATCAAAATTACAGAATTATGAAATTCTTGAATTTCACCAATAATATAATACATTAAAATTGAATAAACATTGCATAAAAACCAATCAAAAATCGAAATTAAACCCTAAAAAAACATACCTCGGAAGCTTTAGCAAGCTCATCCAATTGAACAAGAGGCTGAATTTTTCTGTCTTTGTTATTGTGCTTATTATGATGATTAAGCAATTTCTTCAATGAAGTCTTCATTTTTTTTTACAGAAATTTCTTCAACCCAGAAATTTCGCCAACAATTACAGAGGAGAGAGAAATTACGAAGGTCGAAATTGAAGGATTAATGGCGGAGAAAACTTGCGATGCAATCAACAAAAAATCATCCCAAAATTGTATAAAAAAATTGAAATTGAAGAAATTGGAATTGAAATTGAATAATTTGAAATGAAATTAGGTAATATTCACACCCTTTATATGTGAATTAGGCTTTGTTCAACTAATGCGTTCTTCTTCGTTGTTCGTCTTCGTGTGAGACTTTCTTGTTGAATTTTTCTATGTACTCGTCGACGTACCAATATGGAAACGAATATGAAATGAAAATGAAATCATATCATATTCATATGTACTCGATCACAATTTGCTCATTATGATTTTTACATGTTTTACATCTCATTTTCGAAAATTGACTTTCCGATCAAAGGGTACGAGTTGATCGGACGCAGACGACATGGTGATCGGATTGACGGAGTAACAAAGCTGTGAATTTGGATAGTGACATTGTCTTGGAATAGCAGGATCACATTCACACCATAGACATAGACCATTGCACTTGTGCCCATAAAAAAAATAAATTGTTAATATATTCCATCATGAATGGTCAGATTTTCTTCTGCAATTACAGTCAAACAGAACAGAAATTACAGCAAAATTACCATTATTTTTATAGTAATTAACTGTCATTTCATCAATAATATCCCAATTCACAAAATTCAATTAGTACTCCAATGAGTCCAATCCCAGATAAAATTAGACCACAAACAAAGATAAAAATAAGATAATTAACCCTTTACTAATGTATCTAACACATTAATTAATCATACTAATATCAATTACACAGAAGATCAAATCAAATAAACCACAACAAATTAAAAAAATGATAACACAATTACCCTGAAAATTTGGTTCTTTTTTCAAGAGAGAAACTTGAAAAATCAGTACATTCTAGCACATTTAGTGATAACACTACAACCTCTTCTGTATCTGTTAGCTGGTGTAGCACCACAACTGTAATATGAAGATCCTGGTGTTGAACAAGGCACAACATCTCTCTTCAATGTTTCATAACTTATATATTTTCTCCTCATACTCAAAATTCTTCTGTTTATCTCTGAATCAACCTCAAATTCTTCTGCTTCAGTTGCAACAGGGCAATTTCCCATCTTTTCATCACAAACCCTTTTCACCATTTCATCATTTTCTGTTGAATTTAAGCTCAAATCTGAGTACCCTTTTGAGAATATGAGATGGGTTTGTAAGATTATGAGTAATGTAATAAGTAATTTGAGTTTGATTGTGAGCATTGCTAATTTGGGAGTGTTGTGGGAAAGATTAAAGGGTTTTTGTTTGATGAGTGAGTGAATTTTTTTGTTTTTTTTTGGGATTTTGTTTTTGGTTCAACAAAAGATTTGATTTTTACCTAGTTGAGAGACATTAAATATGATAAGGGTCACGGTCTGAACTAGTGGTCCACCGAGAGCGAAAGAGAGATACTAAATGTTTGCTTGTTGTGTCATAAATAATATGGTTAGAAAGGGCCAACTCAAAGTGATATGGCATGAGTGACATCTTGGTAGACCAACTCGTGTTTATGGATGTCATATAGATTAGTTCTCGAAAAACAGTTTAAGTACGATATTGTATTTAGTGTAAGAATCAAATACCTTCTGCATCACTCTTATAGTTTGGCTATAGTTATAGCCTTTTTGGATTGGCGATGATGTTTTTTCTATTGTCAATTTGTCATCCTTCGTTAATTAATTAAAGCTTATATGTTCAATATTGTGATAGAAGCCAACTTTAGTAAGGTTGATATGTTCCTTTCATAGGCAGTCAACAAATATGATGGTTTTTACGATGATCGACAAAAATATTCATTTGATTGGTAATTGTGATCTACTTTATAAATATACGAATTTTTGGAAATTACATAACTAGATAAAAGTCGTGATGAGAACAAAATGTCTATACTTTTATTTTTCTCTCAATAAATAATCTCTTTGATTAGAATATAAATCATAAAATTGATTAGCACAAATGATAATGTGTGTTGGGATAAAATTTCTAGTAAGAGTAAGTTATAGATTATATTCAATTATGTTTAGTCCTTACAATTTTTGTGTCGTTATCTTGAAATTACTACCAACATTGTACTATAAAAACTACTTTTATGTTATGGTTGTTTATTGTATTGGTGGGTCAAAATATGACAATTGCCACTCATTGGCAAATTCAAGCTGTCTTCATAGGTTTGTCGTAAGCTGGAATATGCAATGTGTACTCGTTTTAAACTCTTTATTTGTTTAGGGTTGTTGACATGTCTTAACTATACCAGTTTCATATCGAATTAGAGTGACATATGACACATATCGACCCTAAATACAAGTTATCTAATCCATACCCGAAACAGATCCAAAACTTGTTACGATACAATAAATAATGTATCTTGTACACATGCACCGACTAATTATGGACATAAAGTATTTCAATGAAGTATTCTCCACCACTTAGAAAGCCCGACCCATAAATTTGGGTTTAGGTGTGAATGCTCAAAGGATTTGTGTGTTTCCAATGTTAGTGTAGTGGCTTTAGATCTGTCTTGTTCAATTGAGCTTATTGGTTCATTGACCTTCATTTTAATGTACTAATTATAGCTCCACTAATCTCCACAAAAAGAGGGAAGCAATCATCGCCAATTTAGACATAAATAATGATGGATAATAGGGGTGATATAGTAAATAAAATTAGCCAAAAAATATACTCTGATACTTTGTACGAGTAATAAATTAAAAACGGGTCAAATCTTGTGAAACACCTAAATGGATAATTAAGTTGAATTTTAAAGAACAAATGGAGTATAATCAATTCAAATTTCAATGCTAACAAAAGTTTTTGTTACAATAGCCAACACGATAATTGTAGCGCTAGAGAATAGCTAAAAACACAAAGAAATTAATCATACATTCATACCAAAGACTAGCTAGCATATTATTGAAACTAGTATAGTGTTGATGTTGACTATTGAGGTAATATATTTTTATCGGTTAAGCTTGTAATAAAGTAGTAATTAACATTTGACAGTCAACAAATGTAATGCAAAAAAATCATGTATTAATCAAACTCTTCATCATTTATGAATCTTTTTGGAATCAACATTATTATTGAACAATTCCTCCATGAAAGCCTTCAAGTTCATATTAGACGATCCACCCTCGTTGACCGCTTTGACCGCCAATTCTCTCCATTTCTTAGCATTCTCCTTAATCTCTTCACTCTCCATAACCTCTTCCAAACACCTCTTAATCTCATCACTCTTAACTAATACATCACCTCCTCCTTCACTCAAATTGACCCTTACCCCGGTCTTCCATAGATCCTCCATCAGTTTAGCATTCATTGTTTGATCCGTCCATTGTGGAAACCCGACCATGGGGACACCATATGCTAGGCTCTCCAATGTCGAGTTCCATCCACAATGTGTCACAAAGCATCCCACTGAGGGGTGGGCTAACACCTCCACTTGGGAGCACCATGGGACTATTAGCCCTTGTTTCAGCTCCTCCATGCAACTCAACTCTTCTTCACTATTACCCTCTACATTTACTCCATGGCTCGCCTTCTCCCTATTAATGACCCACAGGAACGGCCTGTGGGTCTGTATAAGGGCTCTGGCTAACTCCTCCATCTGCGGCTTGGATAGCACTGAGATGCTTCCAAACGACAAGTAGATCACCTTGGAATTCTTTCCTTGCAAGTTTAGCCATTCCATGTAATCTGCCTCCTTAGATTGTTGGAAGAGGTCCCCTTCAAAGGATTTGTCGGAGGGGTCCTTCCCATTCAACAAGGCGGAGGGAAGGATAGGGCCGATAGGAATTAAGTTGAACCTTTCAATAGCTCTTAAAGCATGAACTTCTAAAGCTTCAAAGGTATTCACTAGGATTATTGGCTTATCCTCAATCTCTAATTGTTACATTTGCTCTTGGAATGAAGGGATGGCAAAAGTGTAAAGGGAATGGTTGGAAGGAAGAAGGAATACGGGGAGGTCACGTGCTTTGAGCTTCAATGGTATGTTTGGTAATTCTAACGACCATGAGGGGTCTTTTTCACATTCATTTATAGCCTCACCGTAGCCATTGAAATAGTAATAGTAGATATTAAAAACCATGGCAGGTTGAACCCAAAGGAGCGCGGATGGCAAGTGAAACTTACATGCCACCTCGGCGGCCCAAGGTAGGATTGTGTGCACCACGCATGTAATTTGTTTACCCTCGACAACACTCTTGTCAAGGAACTCCGATAAGGCCTCAACCCCACGCTGGCGAAACATTGAGAGGTAGTTCATTAAATCTGTATCGGCGACCTTAAAACTATCGCCATACCCATCAGAAAACGTGGTGAAGTTCATACCCTTAGGAACCGTGGCCTTTTTAAGGCATCGGTGGCCAGAGGCAGCGGTGATAAAGGTGACATCGGCCCCAGCTTGTAGGAGCCGCTTGGCGAATTGGAGGGCCGGATTGATGTGGCCTTGCCCCGGGAAGGTGACTAGGAGGAAGTGAGGCTTTTGTTGCTCCATAAAAGGCAGAGAGTGACGTTGGAAGGAATAAGGTTATGAACTAGCTGTAATGCTCTTATCTTAAAGATTGTGAATAGTATTTGTAGTGGAAGTGAACATTGGATATTTTTTTTGCAAAATGTTAGTTGTCTAAGTATGTGATCAGGATTATAATATGACACAGTGGCTGACAGCAAGCTATTCAGTATAATATAATCCACAGACTATTCAGTATAATATAATCCACACACTATTCGTTGATTGTAACTTAGGCTATTTAGCAAGTGGCAACCCTTAAGTAATAGAGTATGCAATATACATTGCATCTAAGGGTACCTAAGACAGTGCTCCTATCTCAACTTGAGGTGCGCATGACATGCTCAACCTTTAAAGGGAGAGCATGGCCGAGAGCACCATTTTCAGGTACTTTCGGAGTTCCCGAGTGCATATAATAATTTGTTGCGACTCCGCTCACGAGTAAAAGTGTGGGAATCAATTTAAAGGTGCTGAAATCACTTCCACTGTCAACAGTCTTACTGTATTACATATGTAAACCATTGTGAGCTCCATTAGCAACAAAGGTCAACAGAAGCTAGACAGTGATGAGATAGAAACTACTAATAATGTTTGACTAACTTCAGTGGCTCACTAAGTCACTAGTCACTACCTAATGTAATGAGCTAATCCGTAGAATATTGTACTGCACAAGCCTACAGCTTAAGGACAAGAAGAGGGGGAAAAAAGCAGAATGAAAAGCATATTTTGTCAGGTACTTTGAAAATTGGTTAGCGGCTGTAACAGATCCAAATCTATACAAGACAAGAATGGCTGAGCCTTGTTACACTCGTGAGCCTACTTTTTTGCTAGCTTCCAGGTCGATAATAGGGATGTTAGTGAATTATTAGATGATGATACTTGTCCAAGTGTTAGGCTCGACTAGTTTATGAAGGTTTGGGCCGTTTGGCTGGTCTTTGAAGTGTTTAGTTTTGTTGGGTATCGAAAGTAGGTAACAGAGAAAAACGAGGAGTTACAGTAGGATTTAGGTCTGGCGCTATAAGGAAAGGAAGTAAAAGGCTTCTAATAATGGCTCAAGTCCTGTGAACTTATGACATATTTGAACCTTTCCATCTAGAGTGTTTATGGGCGACTCTAGGGAACTTGGATAAAAATATGGCAAGCTTTATCAGCTATTTGTCACATTCGATGATAAAAAAGAGACTACAGAAATCTACATTTTAATTGGCATTCTAGAAAACAATAGCTAATGCATTGCAAGGTCTGCAACTAAAAGGCGTAAAGAGGAAAACAAGGATAAGCTAATTGCATGAGCAAGCCGAGCAACTAGCAGTTATCAAAAGAAACAATTAGATTTCAGCAGA